ATGAATTCAACTGCAGCGAAATTGGGAAATCGTAAACTACAGGCAAGTGAGGAGGAATAAAGGCAATGAAGGGAAATGAAGGGACATGCAGGGAAACGCGAGCAAACACAAGACGGACTGAGACAGAGACACTAAAACGTAAGACATCTCTAAATCGAGCACGTGTTTGCAACGGTCTGCACTTCTCCCAGTCTGCGCTGGCCCTTGCCCCAACTCGGCTGAGCCGCCTAGATTGTAACACAACTCCTGTTGTTAGACAAGAAGAAGCCTACACGAAAAATGACAGCCGCGCGCAAGACAAACAGTCGGACCAACAGAGCGACACAGACAACGGAGGTCTCTCAAATGATACCATTTGCCACGGGCTGCGCCAGCTCGTCTTCAACAGTCGTGACACTTGATCCAAGCCAGGCTTGTCGGGGCGGTTCGCACGAGTCTGAGCTGCATGCTTGCTTGACCGGAGCCACGTCCTGGTTGGCTCTGCTCTCTTGGCTGGACGGCTTTTTCTCCCTTGCCTTGAAGCTTTGCTTTAGAACTTTACTTCCTTGGCGCGGGCCGTTTGAGCTCTGCTCAGGCCCGGCCGTTTGAGCTACGCCGAAGCTCAGCCCCGCCTGCGGGGCTTTTGGTCGGGAGTCTCACTTAACTTGCGCGCGCACCCGCGGCAAGCCCGAGGAGGGCCAACTTCTGGCACGGCGCATTTTTGTTTGCGGCCACACCCGCCCTGGCGGGAAGGCGCACTTGTCGCACCAAGAGTCTGCGTTGGCCGTCTTGAGAAGTCTCCACAACATTGGCTGCGCTTCTTGGCGGCGCACTTTCTGCAGATCCAAGTGGGGCGATTTTTTGCACGGCGCACACTCTTTCGCGGGCTGGCACGCTTTGGCTGGTGGCGCCGGCGGCTTGGCATTGGCACGGCCCTGGCTGTGTCGCTAGCACTGCCTGGCACCACGTGCACAAAGTGTCCCTGCGCTTAGCTTGGTGAGCCTGGCCGCGCGCGACACGCGGCACACTCTGTCCATGCCCCGCACCACGACGCTGAAGTGGGCAGCGTCTTCGCTCGCCAAGAAAGCGGTCAGGGGTTTGAGCGACGCCTGACCTACGTGCTCAATCCTGCGCAGGCAACAGCTCAGCAGCACTTCCGGGCGCCAGCGCCGGCTGCGTTTCTTGGCTTCCTGCTGGAACCCGGCCTTGGCTTCTTCCAAGTTAATGGTCTGGCGGTGCGTTTCGACCTGCGTGCGCGGGCCTTTAATGTCGCCTTGGCCCAACAGGTTAGGCCCAAACTGGCTCACGCACAAGTCCTCGGCGCGTGCTGCGCTGTGCTCTTGCAAGCCCGGTATGGGCAGCTGTCCCAAGAAGTGTGGTGCTTCCTGCGCGGCAAACCCACGTTGCACGTAGGTTGGTGCCCGAACGGCGGCCAGTGCAACTGCCAGAGGGACTGGTGCAACGGATTGGCGTGGCAGCGGGAGATCCAATCCAGCGCTCCCCGCTTGGGAGCATCGACATGTGCTCCGGCGCAAGAGACACCTCTATTTCAGCTCGAGCCAGAAGCTGCGACACCACTGCTTCCCGGCACGCCAGTTCGCGTCATGCAGGCTCTGCGCTGCAACTGTTCAAAAACAGTCGTGCCAAGCTGTTGAACTCGTGCAAGATGCAGACGCTGCGGCGGCGCAAGCGACTGCCGCACCCGATGCCGTCCTGCAAAGCATGCCAACATGTCTCTTGACACAAGTCGCAGGTGCGTCCTGGAGAGAGCTACCGGGCCTCCCGCCGGGGTAGCTTGCGTCCGGCCCTCAGCCACGGGTCCACGCAGCGATGTTCTTTTGTCAGCTCAAACAAGCGCTGCGTGCCATCCTTGCTGTGCGTCCAAAACAGGCGGCGCAGGTTGGCAACCTGGACGCTGACCCCTTTCCTACAGGGGTCTTGAAACAGCAAGGTGGCGCGCGCCGTGGGAAACTGCCAGAAGGCCCCCGCGCGCAGGAAGTTCACGCCGCCAACGGCCGCTCGTGCGTGGCGTCTCTGCGCTGCGTTCGTCAGCGATTGACGATTTCTCGGGGCCAAGCTGCGTTAGTCGGCTTTCTTTGGGAGCCTTGACTTGCAGCTTGGCAGCGCAGCGTGCTTCCGTCAATTAGCGCGGCTTGGGTGGGGCAAGGTGCAAAAACCCTTGCCCCTGCCCCCATCCACCTCCTCGAAAAACCCGCGCAGCCACTTGGTACACGCACGCCACGGCTGGTTGCGGGCGTGCCTCGCGTGGGTGTTCCTGCGGCGTTTCCGCTGGTCCAGCGCCGAGAGCTTCTTTGCGGTCCGGAATGCCAGTGCGCCGACACGCAAGCCCTCGTCTGCCGGGAGGAGGCATTTGTGCCTGCAGCGGGTTGGAGCGTGGATCGGCGCACGCTCCGCCGTCTCCGACAAGAAAGGTGCGAGGAGCACTACGTGGCCTTGGTGCGCGCCTGTTGCGCGGAAGCGCAGTGCGCCGGTAGGGCGTCCTCGGCCGAATGCATTCGCAGTTTCTGTGTGGCCCTGCTTGTGGGGCATGAGTGGCTGACGCAGCTTGATGCAGTAACCGAGCAGCGCAATAAACTCAAAGCGTATGGGTGGCGAAGTGCTGACCCACGCATGTGCTTCTTGTCACCATGGGAGTTTGCGCAGCGGGGGGAAGCGAAGCGGCTGCGGCCGCCTTCTGCGGCGGCCCAGCGACGAGCACGGCTTGAGTGCGAGGCCTGTGCGGCTGCAGACGGCTGGAAGTTTGGGCGGGACTCTCGCTGGCGCGACCCGTTGCCACCCGGCTTGGCCTTTGCTTCGCTCGTCTCGAACTGTGAGCGGGCAGTGTTGCAGTGGCTGAGGAAGGGCTCAGAAGCAGATCTTTGTGCAAATTGAATTGTTCTCCAGGCTTGTCTCGCACTCCAACCGTTCAGTCGTTCATTGTTGTTGGGCGCCTGGCAGGCGCCCTGCGTGACTCGGAGTGTTGGCCTGCGACAGCACCCTGCAGCACCCTGCACAACTCTGAGTCTTGGCCTGCAGCGCCCAACAGCACCCTGCGTGACTCTAAGTCTTGGCCTGCGGCAGCACCCCGCAGCACCCTGCGCAAATCGTAGCGCAGCAGTACCTGCAGCACCCTCGGCATCTTTGAGTCTCGGCCTGACCCTTCAGCAGCAGCCTTCGTGACTCTGAGTCTCGTTTTGCGGCAGCTCCCTGCACCACCCTGCGCAACGCTGCGTCTCGGCCTGCAGCAGCACCCTGCAGGACGCTGCGCAACTCTGAATCTCAGCCTGCAGCGCCCGGCAGCAGCACCCCGCATGACTTCGAGTCCCAGCCTGCAGCAGCACCCTGCGCGGCTCTCAGTCAGCACTCTGTGCAACCCTGTGTCTCGGTGGCTCTGAGTCTCGGCCGCAGCAGCACCCTAGTCTCGGCCTACGCAGCAAGAGCCTCGGCCTGCGCAACTCTGAGTCTCGGCCTGCAGCAACCTTCTCAACAGCACCCTGCGCAAATCTGAGTCGGACGTGAAGCAGCCCTGCAGCACCCTGGGCAACAGCCCTCCTTTACTTGAAGTTAGAACCCCTGATTTCAGCCATCTGGGGAAGGATACTAGTTTGTGGCCAGAGTGATGGTTTTGGAACATTGCGTTGCTTGCCGGGCGTCGGCGGGTGAAGGCTTACGCCCGGGGGGGGGGGGGGGCATGCTCAATGTCACTCTCACCCTCGGGGCGACTGCCGGGGGCGCCGTGGTTTCGCCTTGGCCTTGGGGCCGGGTTGCTGAGAATCACCGGTGGTGTGGGGCGTCAAACCTTGTTTGCAGTCCGCCGGTTGCTGGCCCCAGCCCCTGCATTTTTGACGACGATGCCGCACGCGGTTGCATGGGTTTGCAGCTTGGCTTTGCGTGAAGAGGCCTGACAGAAATACAAGATACGCGTTGCCGCCAACGTTGTAGATTGTGACTTTGGCTGTCACGC